CACTTTCAAACACAATCTACTATTGTTCATAATCATATCAACTAAAGCCACACGATTTCGAAACTTGAGTTTTATAGTTTTCTTTGTCGTCTCTTATATGTCGTCGTTGAACTGGTAGAATTTTCCAGACATCCGACTGGATAGGTGTCGAATCATTCCTGTTGCAGACTCGTACTTGCAGTTGATTCGATGAACAAAGCTTCCACAGTCGTCAATCTCTCCCTCCACTCTGTGACATTAGATTTTAAAACTCTCATCTTCATTCCATCATCCGATTGTATGGTTGTGTGTAACTGCATGTAGTGAATGGTATAACTGAACTATTCTCTAGATTTCTTATCTTAATCGGGTCAACCAATCTAGATTTTGCTAGGTTTTTATGTTCGGCTAGACTGACTGACTGATCCTGTTCTACTAGTTTGACCTATGTATTTGACCTGACAATCATTGTAAGTAGGGTATTAGATAAACTAATTTTTTTTTAATTGGCTCTACTTTCAGGATGCTTTAATCGACAAAGCTTATTCCCAATTGAGTTTGAGAGAGGTGTGAATCCCAGCCACTTTAATTCTTGTCTGCATTGTTAAGAATTCTCAATCGTAAGGTGGTTTCCGAGGTTCCTTCCTTGTATGGAATTACTAATGATGATTTAAATTCCTTATTGGTGATGTTTCATTATCCTAAGCATGTTTGACATGTATGCCGTCATTCATATTATTATTACCACTATCACTACTATCATTATTGATTTTATTTTTATGTTTCCTCACATATCTTCTGAATAATTTATCCGGGTAATTATTAAGTTTCAAGGCTTCTTTTATGTGTATCACTTCCTGTCTAGGATTTTCCTTGGTACTTACTGGTTTTTGTGCTCTGTCACTTAAACATTTTACCAATCCTAGTTCTACTGACATAGGATGGGATGATAGGAAGTCCAAATGTCTGCCTGACTGTTTGGGTTTTATGTAAACACTAGTGTTTAACTTCCCATCTTAAAAAATTCTACTTCCTCTATGACAAATGGGAGAAGACAAAGAAAACTATAAAACTCAAGTTTATTAGTCGTGTGATTATAACTGATATGATTACGAATATTAAATTGTGCTTGAAAGTTTGTCATCCGGTAAATAATACTATTTCACTGACTGTGTTTCACATATCTGATAAACGAACTAATATGGAATAGATATTTTGTTAAGTAACATTTAAAGTTAAATTGGAGGTGACTCTAAGCCATAGCAGCGCGAACTGAAACTACCTAGCGAGCAGCAAAAATGACTTTGACAACGACAACTTTGACCAATCAGAAGCCCCTATAAAAAAAGGCGCATAATTTTAATAATAAATCGTTCATATAAGAGTAATGCAATTTTTAAAAAAATAGTTACAAAGGCTAACGTTCTCATATGCGTTCCAAAAAAACCTCCCAATTTCTGATAGGAGTCTTGATACTTTCGCAAAACTCTATATCATTGCGCTTCTTGATCCATTCATAAATCTGATTCGTTTCTTTTTTGAGGTGACTGCAAAAAATTTCGATGGTACTGGCGTGAGTTCCATTGAAGGGATTGATGAAATCACTTGTATGGCTGACGATGTGATGAATACAGCCCAGGGTTGATAGCTGATTAAAACTACTCCACTCATTTGTATGAATATTTGTTCCAGGCAGCACTAAGCTCTGGATAACAGGCAATAAGACATCTGCACTCAGATTAGGGATACCCTCAATGCATCCTTTGTGCAGGGTGGTGTCATATATCCCTGGGTTATATTTTCTTTTTATCAACACCATCTCATCCACGTGAACAATGACGCCAACTCTGCCAAGTACTTATGTCAGCCTGTTCATTTTCCATGAAGTCATGTCTCTGCAGCACTGGTACCACTGCACTGTAGACACTTCTGAATTCTCTGATTCATGCGCTGTTACTGTTACTGGTCTCTTAAGCACCCAGTTATGACACATCATTAAAATTTTCATTCGAGGTAATTTAGACTTGGAGAAAAAATTACTTACGGAATCTGTAAACTAAAAAAGAACGGCATACCTTCTTGAAGTGACTTGCCGGTTCGGGAGTCATTGCACCTGTAAACAAACCCATCAGTTCACCTAATGTATCTTTGTATATGTATGACACCTCCACATTGACAATTTTTTGACCTTCTCATCAGTCTGTTCTCCAAACAGTAATCAAAAACAAGATCTGGAGAGAATTGGCAACGCAAAAGGTGTACAACATCCATAAGTACGTCTGGAGTCACCTAACTGGTTGCTTAAGGTCGTTTGTCCGTTCGCTGGGTAGTTTCTGTTTAGGCTACTATAGTTTAGAGTCACCAAGTTGGTTATCGTTGTTACTTCTAACATACTTTATTTATTTATATTATGCTTCTTTTTGGTTCCAGGTTGAATGTAGCATTTCACCAGTACACCTACTTGTCAACCTGTTCTCTACAAACCTATTTAGCTGACCCCATGATTGCCCATATGGTTTCACTACCTTGTTACACAATCTCCACCATGTCGCTCGCGACCAATCTGTTGTATAGACCACATTTGTCTTTACAGCACAGTGCTGTTTGTATTCCCCCCTCCATTTATGACGCTGAAACCCTGTTGGTTTTATACTGTTTTAACTTATCAACGTAATCAATGCTTCTCAGGGTCATTCAAATTATATATCTAAGCGACTGCTGTCATCCCTTATTCGGCTGTTGATTTAAGACAGTAAAAGTTCTGCATGTCAACGGTCTATCTTCTTGTGCCATGGGTTCGGTGGTAACCTATTGCGTAGTTGTTATCGCTATTGTTGTTGCTAATAGTGGTCGAAACAGTAGGCTGACAAATCGACTAGGTAGGAAGTTAGTCAGCGCAAACTAACAAGTTTATTAACAATTATAACGCTTTCCTATTCTGGTTCAAATTGAGTGCCTGTTTATCGTGTAATGTCAGTCGAAAGTTACTTGAGGTGATAGAATCTTGGTTGATCCGTTGTCTGCCAGAGTTTCCGTGTTGCTAATTCTCTCTAAGGTGATAAGTTTAATGTTCATAAAAGACTGTAATTTTCAAGCACTGGCTTTGTAGGGATTTTTGTTTGATTGCATGGAGGATTTCATCAGTCAGATAACCATTAGAAAATTTGGGAGTACTGTACAGCTGTCTCGTCTTAGTGTGTGACGCTTCAGCAGTACGCACCCACTTGGGTTCGAACCCAGGACCTTCTGGTTGCAAAGCGAGCTTGTAGACAATTAAGCCATTGGGGCCCGATATAGTTGTTCTTAAATTCTAACTTCTGCCAATTCACGACATAGCGCGACCATTTCGCAATGTCTTCTTCGATGAGTTACTGGCTCATGTCAGCTTATGATGAAATCCTCCATTCCGAAGACTGTAAGTGGTGAAAATGAAATTAAAAATCTGCATTCAAACCATAGGCTACTTAATTAACCATCTCATTGGTCTATAATACATCTCTTTGATATCGACCGCTCATATTAAGTGTATTTTACAGCAAAGTATTACTGATAATGGGATATTTGTTAATTCTTACTACCGTTATTCGTGATCATTAATTCTGGGATAAGATTAGTAAGCGTTAGCTGGCAGCAGATTGCAATTTCTGAGAGATCAAGGTATTTATGCCTGTCATTTACCCATTCTTCATCCTCCAGTTATATGTGTATTGATGTATGTCTGTGGTTCAGTGGTTGGGCGCTCACCAGCCAGGCATGTTGGCTGGGTTCCAATTGCCAGTATATGCCTCACCTAGTTTGTAGTAAGCCCCATTGTGAGGGAAGACTGCACCGGTATTGAAAATTCAGAACTCAAACTTGAGGCTCTATATTCCACCCGGAAATCAAAAGAATGAAAAATATACGCATGTTGGTGTTAGATAGCTGAAGACGATTGGTAAGAACGTCCATTTGACGTAGCTTTCGTGACTATTGGCACGATTAAACAAGGCGTATTATTATTATGTGTGATAACTCACTTGGACGCCTTACAAAATATGGGGCTTTAACAGCATGTCTCCATTAAATTCCGTCTTCTGCACTCCACTTTAGCTGGCTGGGCAAATGCCCATAGACGCTCATCTCCTCCTTACATGGTCTCCTCCATATCGCCGTTTCCGTTTTCGATTGAGGTTCCGCCTAAAAGACAGCAGTTCCATGTCACTCAACGCCTTTTCCAGCGTACGTCTGATTCATTTGCATTTTTTCTCCGGGATATTTGCTGAGCAATAGGTTCTTGTTCGTTCCATCAGCATCAAAGCAGCGAAGGCATCTGAAGCCTGTTGGAAATTTTCATCAACCTTCGAACTGATGTATCACTGATATATTCGGGTTTACAATTGACCTTTTGTACGACCACAGTGTATATACTGATTGGTCATTAGATGTCGTTCAAGACATAATTCTGTAAGTCAAATTTACAATGTCGCCACCAGTAAGCTAGGTGGCTCGTCATCATGGTACACGCTCAACTAATGTTAAACTGTTTGAGGTAATTGGCAGTAAGTTCTGAATCTTAGTTTCGAGGTTTTTGTTACTCTCCTCTCTATGGAATCAGAGACTTTACCATTAAGCTATACTGACTGACAGTTTACCTCCTACAGGACTGCATTGTATGTAGACTTTAATCAATCGGTCACCAGGACATAAGCAATGTTATATTTCTGGACATTTTCCGCCATGTTGCCGTAGACTAAATTCTATCCCAATCAAGGGTGATTTTTATCACAAAATGTTGCAAAATAAAATATTTTCCCCTGACAATTATTTACCTACTTTTAGAAAAGTGTATTGTCCACGTGTATGTAATCCCCTGTGTTGTAATATAATTGCAATTTGTTTCTGAACTAAAAAACTTCCAAAAACTTCTTTCTTCATTGCTTCTCGTTTTTTTTCAATTTTCCTCTCGCCCTCCCTAACGCACACCAACCATCCAACGACGCACCCACCCCATACTCCCTGGCGTTACCAAAACAACCAAATAGATATGCGATTTTGGATTGGCGCGTATAGCAGACCCAGGATCAGAACAGTCTGGCACACTGACAGAATATGTGGCTACACGTTGGTATCGTGCACCAGAGATAATGTTAACCTCAAAGTTATATACAAAAGCAATTGATATCTGGTCAATTGGTTGTATTATGGCTGAAATGCTTAGCAATCGTGTTCTATTCCCTGGAAAACATTGTAACGACATTTTGGTTTTATATTTATTTATGTATTTATTCAATTATTTATTATTATTATCATTATTATTTATTACTAGAAATATTATTATAAATGTTACAATTTTACAATGACTCCCTAGTCTAATGTTACGTTAGAGTAGAGCTATGTTGAAGAGAACTGGTACATCAGTGATTGATTATAAAGCCAGTCACTTAGACCAGCCTTTTAGTAAAATATGGAAATATCATGCGTCAAATGGTTGGTGTACAATGGAAAACTACTTGAAGCTTTCGAAGTGAATAGGCCAGTAAGACAAGCTGGCTGCCTGTCCATTATTACTGTGGATAGTAATCCTAATTATGGTTGACTGGAGTATACATCAGAATGTGCCAGGAGAGTGAGAAGACAGGTGTAACAACAGAAGACAAGGGCCAGGCAACAGATCGTTTATTATGAAAATCAACACGTATTTATACATCTTTCAACTACATTATTATAGACAAGCGCAGTCATCTGATTGGTTGTTTAGGTAGACAAACGCAGGCTTCTGATTGGTTGTTTCGGGATTCCTTGACAAATAGAGTTCTCTCTGCGAATCATATTTTGCCACGTTAACTTTGCTGTGATTGGTTGTTGACTCAGGCTTGTTCATATTTTCTCACGGCCCATATTAGTGACCTAGACCTTAACGTAGATTAGTGCCAACCAATCGGCTAGCAGCCTGCTCTCACCACACAGGAAGACGCTGAACTTACCGATTAGAAGACTCTAGACTATCTGGATTTCGCGTGTGGATGATCTATGTTGTTTAATATTACACAAATTCGAAGACTTGAAGGCAGGTGAAAATCAACAAACTATCTAAAGAAGCTGGCAGACAGCGAGGACAGGACTTCAGGTGAACAGAAAGAAGGTCGACAGAGAGACGTGGTGAAGATAACCAACTAACCGACTAACAGCGACAAAAACAGCCAGCATCAATCACCATCAACGGGAGAGATTTGAAAGAGGTTACCTCCTTTACTAGATTCCTGGCTAAAAGCAACAGCAACAACAACAATCAGTATAAATGCGGGAAATCTGAAAGAAACAACCACATTTACCTATCTATCTACCTGAGAAGTATCGTTTCAACTACAGGCGGATGGAACCTACAAGGATATCAAAACAAGGATGGGGAAAGCACGGCAAGCTTTCATTACTCTCAAGTCTGTGTGGAGATCAGCAACACTCAGCATGGAAAAATAAGATGAGGATTTTCAGCTCCAACGTGAAGTAAGTGTAACTCACCGTGCGGATCGAAGAATTTGCATGTCATGTGAAAAGCACCTCCAACACACTATACGCCTTCATCAACAAATTGTCTTCGCCCAATACTTTACTCATGATGAAATGACCGGCCAAAAAAAAAGATCAGCAACGTGGAGGGATCTCTGGCAATGAATGAACCAATCCATCAGTAACCAGCTGTGCAACAAACATGCAGGAAGAAATGCAGGTGGATTGGTTATATACTCTTATAAAACAAACCGTTAAGTGAGTGAAATCACACTCCAGGCCATCACTCTAGTGGAACCCAACTGAAAGGGAAGCGGCGAGTTAGTTGGTCGTCTGTGTGAGGGTGACATGGAGGAGGTCATTTAGTAAAGAGGAGATGAAAGCATGTGAGCAGACGTGGAGCCAGGTGTAAACGTTGTCAGAGAACCAAACTCAATGGAGACGTGCATCTCAAGCCCTATGTTCCTCTAGCAATTAAAAGAAACCATAATAATAAATACTTGCTTTACTTATCTGGCCAGGCGGCATCGTTTCAACTACGGGTGACGGAATGGATAAAGACGTCAAAGCCAGCCTGAATCGCAAAAGGCAAGATACGCATTCATCAACCTAAAAAAACAAGTTTGGAAATCTTCTGCAGAGTAAAGCATGAAGAACGAGATTTAAATATTCAAGACAAACTGAAAGTCAGTCAGTTCTTCTATACAGGTTAGAAACTTGCACTGCGTATCAGTCACGAAAACGATTCCCAATAAATTACGGACTTTTATCAACCTCTGCCTTCGCTGGCTTCCAGCTGAGGATCAAATGACTGACCAAAAAGAATTGGCAACAAGAAACTCTGGTTGGAAAAAATCAATCAAAAAGCTGTTGCCGAACAAATATGCTCAAGGAAATAGACAAGACAGATTGAGCACACAATGAAAAGATTCAAGTGATGGTTTGTAGGGATTTGATTGATTTCAGGATTTCTTCGTGAGCTGACATTAGTTAGAGAACCATCGGAAAACCTGGGATGGTTCTCTAACTAATGTCAGCTCACGAAGAAATCCTGAAATGAAAAGATTGTTGAATGACATAGCGCTCCAGATTATTGCTTGAGTGGAACCTGGATTGGAAACGACGAGTCTGGTGTGTGGCTGAGGGTGACGTGGAGGAGACAGTGGGAGAAGGAAATCGGAAACTATGAGCAATCATGAGGCCAGCTAAATAGGATCTTAGAGAATAGGACGAATTGAAGGTGTGCTGGTGTTCCACTTGGAACCTACGGGGGAAAGCAATCAATTAGTAATATCCAGACACCTCCACATACGATTCAAATACAAAAGATTTTACTGCATGTCACTGGAACAAGCGAGCGAATATTAAAATATTGTTGCACAGACTTTCTAGTAAAATGATGATCCTATTGTTGCAAGTGAATTAGAAATAAAACCCAGTCTTATGTCAAGATCCAACTTCATCTTCAATCATTACATTCAAAGTCTGGTCAGACAGTATTCATTCTAGTTTATTGAAAACATAAAACATAAATACACAGCACTGAAACAATAACCTTTTGTGCTTAGTCAGTAAAACCTACTAAGAATTACCCACCTCATGGTGTCTCCAACCACATCTAACACAATACCTATATGCGCCAAAGTAAAATAGACTGGAAGAACAGAGAGAAGGATTATTATTTATATTTCTGAAAAAATACACAAGACTGAACACGGATTGATATCAGTTAGCGAACTATTGAAAACCAGTCATGTATGTTTCGTCCTGGTTTCAGACTCGTCAGAAGAACGTACCTATCACCAGGGTTCGAACTCAGGATATTCCGGTTACAAGGCGAAGTCGCAGACTATTAGACCACTATTATCCACCAATCGAATGATCCAAATATTCCAACCTCTACCAATTCATGAATTGCCGCAACCACTAGCGAATGTCATCCTCAAGTATTTGTCCTCAATGGATTTGATACCAAAGCTTAATAGTCAACGAGGTCACCTTGTAACCAGAAGGTCTTGAATTCAAACCTCAGTGAATGCGTACCGATGGAAAGTCCCGAACGAAGACGAACTGCCATCCAGTACTCTTAGGTTTCTTGTATTTATTAGTTAAAGCCTCTTTTAGCCTTTAATTATGCAAACGAGTTTCAGATGTAATATAGAACTTCAATTTTTGAAGCTTCAGGAGTAGTAGTAGTACTGTTTCCTTTTTATGGGCTGAGGTTGCTAGCCTCGCACCTAACTTTCCCTCCTCTCTGAACCTAATACCAGTTGGTCGAGGTTTAGGAATGGTTTGTTCGAGAATCGAACCCAGACCTCAAACATGACTGGCAACCATTCTACTAGTAAATCTTTAACGCAGTGGCACGATCGATCAGTTTGTTTGGTGGTACCAAGTGGAGTTCAAAGGAAAACCCAGTCATAACAGTAGCACATCAACAGAATTCTGTATTACTGAACTTGACTGTTTGTAGACTAATATACCAGAGTATGTCGCGGACGAAGTGGTTAAGTTCCCGTTAACATTCACAGTTAATGTTTCGATTTTTAACTTCAGGCTAAGTGTTTCCTTTCTTTCAAGCGTGTGTTAGCATGGATTTGATCTGCTTCAGCTAAGGAACTACTGAAAACCACCAGGGTGTTCCGCGTCACTGCTAAGTTTTTGTTCGAGGCTGTTTAACCGTATGAACCCAGAGTAGATCAACCCTAGGGCCTTCAGCTTATGAGTTGAATTCCTTTCACTATTCAGTCACTGGTACAGAATCCAACTCTTCATGAATACCAACAACTGTCAGTTTCATTTAACTTCGTATATCACTTCATAGGACATTAATTAGTCTGTTGAGTGGACGTTGAATTGTCAACTAGGGCAGGCTAACATATGATAGAAACCGATTCGAGATTGAGCAAGGTGATATGTATCAAGGTTACTTTTACTATAAGCGAGATCCAACATACTACTTACGGATTAGTATGAGTAGCTGGAAACCACTCAAGTCAAACACTAGTGCTTGCTAGCTGGGTCAAAAGTTATCTACAAACACGGAATGACCTGCTTCACTGATTTGAGATCAGGCTAACTGACAGTTTACTAGGTTAAACTCAGCTCCCCAAGCTGAATCCGTTCAAATCATTTTCATTATACAACAGATTTATAAATTCTAAGTAGCACCTTTAGGTTGATTTTGATTGGGAGTGAAATCCACCAAGAATCGCATTTCCTCCTTTTTGAGAGGTATCAATTGGATGTACTTGCATACCTTAGTGGGGTGCTGATGTTTTCGCTGAGATTCCTTTCAAACAATAAAGCTGTAACCTTTAGGTTACTAGAGCCACAAAAGCCAACTCTTGTATAACTTTAAATTTCCCATTGATTCGTTTTTTTTTTAACCAAAGCACTCGGTGTACGCTGACATGCCAGCACTTAGCATTAGTACAGTGTCTAAAGATTTATATGACGTTATTTGTATTGAGGGTGACTGACAGTGGAAACCAATAGGATGTGAATTTTGTCCTAATTAGGATTCTTCAGTTGAAGTAAGGAGTGGTTTTCTAACTGAAACTCGAACTGTGCACCCAGTCTTTCAAACACAATAGCATTATCCAATACATGACTGGGCTTTGGCGTTTAGAACGATGTCTATACAGTTCATGAGGGACATCATCACTCACAATGGATTACAGGTACATACAAGTGACGAATCCCAAATCGGAGGAAATGTCTATCCTAACGGAATTCACTGCTAACCACCTTCAACTTGAATAACTTAAATGTGGTCATACTACTAGGATACAACATGTACACAAGAACTGACCATTTCAATTCATTTTAGTTAATTCGCGTAAAATCTTAAGTCAATTAAAAATGAACGGAAATGACATGATATTAATGCTTAGGTTTCATCATATAATATCTCATACCTTTATGTTTATAGAGGAAGATAGACCACATCGCTAGCCACTAGGGTATCTAATCTTCGAACCACACTACTGGCTGGCTCAAGATCTCACCATACCCATGCATTTCTGACAAGATTGACACTGATTGTGCAATTAGGGGTTAGAAATGTAGAAATAATAAAATTAGACAGGATGTTTGGATAAAAAAAATCTAGTGGGATAATAACCAAAGTGACGAATAATTGTTTATACAATCAGGGATTAAATATGTAGAAATAATAAAATAACAAAATAGACAGGAAATTCGGATACGAAAATATGGTAGTTTAAATAGTGGAGGGTTTAAGAAAAACTTAAAAATAAACATAAATAAATAGGAAGTTTGGTTAAGAAAGCCAATGGGATAGTCACTATTAAAAGAATTAATTACCTGTTTATGATGGCCATGGCGGGGACAACGGTTGGACGTATTTCTTTCGAATGGCTAGTGCTTTTGGCTTTACCCAGATGTCTTAATTCTACTCCCTTTAATAGGTTTGATCAATTTCTTATGTGTCAATTTTCTCAATAATTATGATGCTACTTTGTTTGAGTTTTATCCATCCCCCTTGTTTATTATGGCATTTTAATTCTTCATTATGCTGCATTTTATTTTGTGTTCTGGATAACTTACAACCCGCCTTTTCTTAATTTTCTTCTTTCGCGCATCATGTTGTCGTTGTATAATAAATAATTAATACAATCAAACAAACAAACCAATAACAACGATAATGGATAACAATAGATATTGATCAATTGAATTTAATACTACAAGTATTAGGTTCACCAACAAAAGAAGACTTTGAGACTATTGTAAACCTTAAAGTAAGTCTATATATATTAATGTTAATCAGAAAGCTATTCACCTTTGCTTCCCCCGCCCCACCTTAATCTTTTGTCCTCTTCTCATGAAGCATACACTCTCCCTTCCTTTCTCTCTATCGCTATGTCTCTTTCATTGTCTCACAAAAGTACTCTCTGCTATAATGATTATGGTATCTGCATATGCATATGTACTTGGGTACTTTGCTTTTTGTTTGTTCAATATTTTAATAATTTTAATAATGTAACAATCGGTTTCTTAGCCTTCTTTCCTTTGTTGTATGTATAACATAGACAGACAAATACTACGGATGAGTACATAGCATACATGATTAGGGATAAAAGACGGACACATAGAGTAAGAAAGATAGACAGATAGATGAACAGACATTTTAGAGAAAGTATTTGGTATTCTGAATTATATTACTATTACTATTGTTACCTTTTATTCCTAGAGGAACAAAGAGATTTAAACGCATATCTTCACTGAGCGTTTGGTTCTCTGACAAAGTTTTCACCTGGCCTCACGTCTGCCCGCATGCTTTCATCTCCTCCTCTACAAACAAACTCCTCCATGTCACCTTTACACTGACAATCAACTTGTCGCTACTCATTCAGGTTACACTTGAGCTAAGGTCTGGCTGGTGATGTCACTCACTTGATGGTTTGTTTTCTCAGAGTATGATCAATCCACCTCCATTTCTTCCTGCTTATTTGTTGTACAATTGGTTCCTTATGGGTTGGTTCATTCATTGCCAGAGATGACTCCATGTTGCTGATGTCTTCTGGCCGAACATCTGGTCTTGAGTAGTATTGAGCTAAGACAGCTGCTAATAAAGGTGTGTAGCTTTTTATTCTATGTGCCCTTCGTGACGCTCTGGCTAAGTCTCTGTTCCGTATACTAGCAGTAATATGAAGTATTCTGAATTCATTAGTATAAAATAATATATAATAAACATCCCAAGCAAGGTAGTAAGCCGCATCATCCTCGAGAGAAGCAAACACGCCAACCTGAATGAAAAGCTTCGACTGAAATAGGCTGGATTCAGTAGAAACAAGTCATGTATCGATCAAATCGCCACTCTATGGATCATCATTGAACAGAGCTTGGAATGGCAGTCATCTCTCCACCTCACTCAACTTCATCGACTTTGAAAAGGCCTTCAACAGACAGCGTCGATCGATAGGTGATTTGGCAAATACTTCACTACTATGGGGTGCCATCGACAATTATATATCTCATCCAACAGTTGTACGACAATGCTGAATGCCAAGTAATCCACAACGGGAAACTTACGGAAGCCTTCGAAGTAAAAATAGGAGTAAGACAAGAATGCCTACTATCGACAATGGTTTTCCTGGTTGCAGTAGACTGTCTAATACAACAGACAGTCGGAAGCGAAGAAACAGGCTTAAAATGGACCCCCACGAAGAAGAACTTGGAGGATCTGGACTTTGCCGATGATATATGTCTGATTTCACACAAACTGGAAGATATGCAAGTGAAAAGCAACAAGTTGGCAATAGAGGAAGCATCAAAGATAAGACTTCAGGTGAACATAGAGATAGCAGAAGTGATGAGGATTTCTCGGTAACATAAACAGCAATAACAACAAACAACAATAAGCATAAATGGGAGGAACCTGAAAGAAACAAGCTCCTTCACCTACCTGGGAAGCATCGTTTCAACTACAGGCGGACGGAACTGATGACGATATCAAAGCAAGAATCGGAAAAGCAAGACAAGCTTTCATTACTCTTAAGTCTATGTAGAGGTCAACAGCACTCAGTATCAAAAATAAGATCCTGATTTTCAACTGCAATGTGAAGTCAGTGCTACTTTACGGATCACAGACTTGGTGCGTCATAAAGAGCATCTCAAACAAACTTCAAACCTTCATTAACAGCTGTCTCCGCTCAATACTCAAGATCAGATGGCTAGAAAAGATCAGAAGAAGGGATCTCAGGGAGTGAACCAACCAGGAAGCGATTGTGCAACGAATAAGCAGGAAGAAATGGAGGTGCATCAGATTGGCCATACTCTAAGGAAACCATCAAGTGACATCACTAGACAAGTCCTCGAGTGGAACCCGAAAGGGATGCGGCAAGTTGGTCGTCTAAGGGTCACTTGGAAGAGGTCATGTGAAGAGGAGATGAAAGCATGTGGGCAGATGTGGAAGCAGATGAAAATGTTGGCAGAGACCCTAAGGCAATGGGAACGTGCAGCTGGAGCCGTATGTTCTTCTAGAAATTAAAGGAAATAGTAATATATATATATATATATGTATTGAGTGAACACTAGGTGGTAACTAGTGTCGTATGTCTAACCCTTCGTTTGATTCACACACAGTTCTATCAGTCATGTCTGCTATGTGACTATCATGCCAGGTAACTTACCATCATTGTAAAATCTGTTTCGCGTTTTTTGACAATCATTGTCAACAAGGTGTATCTGTACGATCTTGAAGAAACTTATGTCCCCTTCCGTGACTCAAACCTGAGTCACTTAATGCTGCAATCAGAGAAGTTACCACTGAGCTATTCTTGCCCACTGACTCACCTTCTCAAGAAAAATATATTGAATGCTTTGTAGTAACCATTATCACACATCCATACATAGGTGTTGATGCAGATCTAGTTCTCTTCTTCAAGTTATCTTTCGCACCAATCGAGGTTTCTTAATCTTGATTTCCTGTATGGATAAAAATACACTATCCGATCATTGTCATTCAGTCACTTGGATGTGATTTAACTTCCTTTATGAATTAAGTTGTTTGACTAAATAAGTGACTAGGGGACACTGGTCACAGAATATGATTGATGAAGGCTGTTTAGAACGAAACTCACTTTATCAACCGATAAAATAAGGAAATTCAAATATTGGTTTGAAGGGATTTGATTGATTTGTTACAGGATTTCCTCCTTGAGCTCACATCGGTTAGATAACCATTGGAAAACCTGAGAGTACTGGACACCTGTTTCATCCTAGTTTGGGACTCTTCATCAGTTATCACTCGCTGCAGAAGTCCTGACCAGTACGGTACAGCAGGTTGGGTGTGGGAACAACAACTCGCCAAAGACATCGGCAGAAGTTATAATTCATGGATTGACCACTGGATTGAGTCTCAGTGGCCTGATGGTCTACTAGTTCGCTTTGTAACAGGAAATTCCGGGATTCGAACCCTAGTGGGTGCGTACTGCTGAAGAGCCGCAGACGAGGCTGACAAAACAGCTGTTCAGTACTCCCAGCTGGTTTTTCAGTGGTTCTCTAACCTGTGTCAGTTCATGATGAAATCCTGCAACCGAAATAAAGAAAAAAAATATGAAACACTAAATATTGTTGAAGTAATACCACTTGGTGAAAGCTTTACGACCAAAACATCAACTCCATATACAAATGACTGGAAAGATCTGTTGATGAAATAGAAATGTTTGTTGTCCCTGTTGTTCTTCTAGTGTTCCTTAAATTTCCGATGGTATAATTTTGAAAATTTTACCATCTCTCTGGTGAACATCCTCAACGCTAAACTGGGAATCAAAATATCCAGTTGAGACAATCTAAAATAACACTTAGGTTCTGTGTAGAACATAGGGTATGCGCCGGAGCTTATCGTCACTTCGTCCTACCTCCTACAGTCTCTTTTAGCTAGCTCCGCTATTGCCCATAAGCTTTCATTTCTCCTTCACACAATCTTCTCTATATCACTCTCGAACAGATGCCCTACTGGCTGCTCATTTTCTATTCAAGTCCCACTTGAGGGCCTGCAGCTTGATGTCATTCAACAGTTTCCTCACCGTGTATGTCCATTCCATCTTCTTTCCCTTCTGCATTGCTACAGTTCCTTGCCTCTTATATTTTCTAGCTGGTCTTGTGGTCTTTAGTACTGAACCGTATAACGTATCTGTAGTGTTAAAGGTCTTCAGCCTGCTTCAATTCTATTCCTGATGCTTGTGTTAAGTCCATGAAGTATATGAATGCGCTGACTCGATATTAATGTTGAATATCCTAAGTTTAAGTTCAAACTTCATTCATGAAATATCCCTATCCAGACATCAATGAAAATTTGTAGTTAAGCGAAGAGTATCTTTTCAGTGGGTAATTCGCTCGCTCAGCTATACATTTGCGATTGGACATATTTATTCTTGTACGTGTGTGTGTGTGCATTGAGTTTTGATTAGACACTAGTAAATAGTGTTATGCGCCTACTCCCTTGTTTAGTGCAGACTGAATTCTATCAGTAAGTCAGGTTTGCCATGGGGCCACTATGTCACTAAGTAGCTCGCCATCACGGTGCACATTGATTTGATGATATTAGATGGTTGGAGGCAATCGGCTACAGGAAGCCTTGCCTAACCTAGGTGTCGGGCTAGTTGGCACCCGTCAGCCAGGTGATAAGAATAAAAATAAGTTGAGGTTTTTGTTGTCAAGACATTTCAGAAATGTGATGAGTGATCAAATTGTAACTAGGGTGATTGGAGGTGAAGATATTATTATTATAAAGGAGTTAGGAAAAAAACAACCACACAAATGTCAAGTCAGTAGAAGTCTACATGGTTGTTACCATGATAGTAGAAGTGGTTGCATGAGTTTTTATTTTGTATACATAACTCTGATTTCTTCAAATGAATAGGTAAGCCTTTATCAATGCAAAGGAGATAGAAGCGTTTTGCTTTTGGTAGGCTATCCTTCACTTTGAAGATTACTTTTTGAAGGAGCAGGCGTTTGTTGGGATAGAATGATCAGTGTTTGACGAGATGTTCGATTCTCGCACTCCTTATACAGTCAATATAACCTTTTTATAGCCGTATGGGATGGTATTTCCGAATCCTTTTGGACGGGATACGCGTCATACAAACAATGTACCTGGCTGGCTCCACAGCAACAGGTGTACTGATATATGCACAAAGAATGGCCAGATACGAGATTTTGTCCTTAAGGCTTCTTCAAACCAATCGGCGACTGGAGAACCCTTCTCTTAGTGCTGCTGCAAACGATGTTCTTT